TTCTGTAAATTTTGTAAAAAAATTCAGAATACTTTGACATTAATTAATCAAATTTAAATGTGCACTCTTTTGAAAACAAAACAGAGGGTGCCGCATCATCTCGTGACGTCGTTTGCGGTATCTCGGCCGGCCGCTAATAATAAGTTTGCAGCATGCGGCGTTACATTTTGTGGCCTAGTCCGCTGGCACGCGCTCCTGAATCCTGACGGTGGTGGTCTCACCTGAATACTCGTTCGGTTCGGTCGGTCGAGATGCATGACAACGAGTTGACGACTAAGCTAGAAATTAAACTCGGTGATGCCGCCGCCCAGTGGCTAGATACACCTCAACCACCGTGGCGTGACCCGAAATAGTAGAATTGCCAAGTGCCTGAGAGTTTGCCGAGTGCATTCCATCGGGCACTCGGCAAACATCCTCTTTACCGAGTGTTTTCAATTAAACACTCGGCAAACATATAGCACTCGGCAAAACCCAACTTTACCGAGTGTCTAATAAAAACACTTGGCAAACTACAAAGAAATACTCGCAAACACGGACACTCGGCAAAAGTAGTAGAGACACGTCGCGCTGGGCGTGCGGCGGCCATGTGATGGCCGTTGGGTGCGCCGCCCTGCCGTTATAACTTTACCGAGTGTCCGTTAGAGACACTCGGTAAAGACAGGGTTTGCCGAGTGTTTTTTATTGACACTCGGCAAACTTATACTTTTGTCGAGTGTTTTTGTTTGACACTCAGCAAAACAATGTGTTTGTCGAGTGTTTTTTATGGGCACTCGGCAAAATAATAATTTTTTCTCTCCTGCCCTCCAAACTTTTTTCTACTCTCCACATACAACATGTGGTACTACATGTTAAAATTTGGCATATTTCTCAATCTGTTTGCTATATTTAATTAATTAATTGTATTTAGAGGAATTTTTTGGTTTAAGTCAAATTTGAACTGCAAGTGATTCAAATAATGGAATAAATTGAGTGGAGAAATCATATTCATGTTATTGAGTCCATTTTGGGGCCTTACTCAGGAAATGAAAAGAATTTTCGAACATTTTGTTCAGGAAACACGACCACGAACGTGTGGCCGAATGGTTTTTAAATTATAAAAAAAGCAAACGAAGTCTAAAAATCACGAGATTTATCAAAATTTTATGATATCATACGTGGAGACTGTGGAAAAAAATTGAAAAGGTTTCGCACAATTTGTCACGTACGACCTTTATAAACCGAAGCATCTCCGAAGAAGAATCGTAGCGTTGAGAAGGATCGGGTAAGATTTGGAGTCAAAGTGACGGTCCAATTGGGGTTTGACTTCAAAAGTTTTTGTATAGGCAGTAGACAACATAGATTGGTTCACGTCAAATTTTGGTAATTTTTCGGATCCGTTTGATAATTTTAATTTATTAACTACAATTATAGAATTTTAATTGATATAAATTGAATTTGAGATATAACTGCTTGAAATAATGGATTAATATTCGTAGAAAAATTAAATATGCATTGTTGAGTGAATTTGACAAGGTATTTTTAAATCACATCGTAACAAATTTAGTAAAACACGCTATGAAGAGGGAGGTCGGTGGAGCATGAAATATAAACTTTTTTTGCCGAGTGTTTTATACCTGACACTCGGTGAAAATAATATTTGCCGAGTGTCATATAGGGGACACTCGGCAACTTCGTCGACCCGGCCCCACTGCACAGTATCGGGCCGTAATGAAAATAAAAAAAAACAATCCCGAGTGCCCCAGATCTTGGCACTCGGCATACTCCTTCATATATGCCCCAGCCCCACACCCCCGCCCTCACCCTCGCGCTTTAACACGCCGCACGCACCAAGACCGCACGCCACCCCCACCCCTCCTCCCCTCCCCTGCCCCGCCACCGCACCGCACGTCGCCACCCCCCCGCCCCACCGCGCCCCGCCGCGCCCGGCCATTCACACACATGCCGCACCCCCCGCCGCCTCCCCGCCCCACCGCGCCCCGCCACTAGCGCGGCATCGCTGCCCCGCCCCTGGCGCCGCCCGCCCCCGGCCTCCGGCTCCCCGCAGTATCCCTCTGCCCCGGTAAGTTCATTCAATTACAGTACCTATCATTCTTTTTTTTTGTGAGATTTACAGTACCAAGGATTCCCCAATGCTTGCGATTGTTTTTTTTCTGTGGGTGCACTTCTATGCGTCATTGTGTGGTCGTCCATGCTTGCTTCTCGCCACAAATTTAACTGGAACTTCTAGGGCTAGGGTCTCGCTTAAGTTTATGCTTCAGTATGGCCTGTGGGAGGATTCAGGTGATCTTGATGATTGCTGTTGAATAATGTATGTTGAAGCAGTTGGTGAGATTACCTTTGTTCTGGTTCTGCATGGTGAACATCCTCATTGAGGGCAGAGGGTATTACAGCCAGTAATGTTCCAGAAATCATAGCTCATAGAAGTATAGAACCTGTGATCTTGTTTGGACAAATAATTTAGTAACATGGAGAAATGCAATTTTTTGGGTGTGTGGTGGTGGTGGTGAGGGGGGAGATACTTGTGTTCCATTTTTTCATTAGCCTAGTACAAACATTAAAAGGAACAAGAGCCACTACAGAAATGACAAGACAAAGCAATTGCATGCAATGATGTACTCTGTAGCAGCATTGTTGTGGTTTCAGTTGGTTGTTTATTCTTATATATCCTGCCTCTGATGATTGCATGGCTGGTCATGATCTGAATCTTGCACCTACAGATGTGCCTTTTATATAATGCATGCAATTGAGTATTAAACTAAAGCATATTTGACGCTGGAAGTAGTTTATATAATGCATGCAATTGATTGATTGATGTAAACCAAAAAAAAAAGAAGATGATGTAATGTAATGAATGTGGGTGTCTCCTCCTCTTTGCTTGGATTTGGATTTAACTTCCTCGAGTCCTGGGCCGGCTGTTATGGTGATCATCCTTTACTATATAGGAGTAGGTAGTATGCGGTGTGTGTCTTGCATTGCACAGCAGTGGTATGAGCGAGTGGTGATGGTGTTGAGTTGGCTTTTGGCTCTTGGTTCCCCTCCCCTAGACCAGGCCGGATGTGTGGATCCAACTAGTAGTACGTACAGTACTCTATATTGCATTGCGAATCGTCTGTGTGAAGTGCGAATCATCTAGGTTCCTGGAGGTAGACTCTGTTGATGGTCAGAAGAGGCAGCTCGCAATCCCCGTGAAGATCCTACGGTACCTTCCTTTCATACCGAGGATCCAACGGCTTTACATGACTGAGGAATCCGCGAAACAGATGACATGGCACAAAAATGGACGTCGATACAATCCTGAGAAGATGGTACACCCATCCGATGGTGAAGCCTGGACAAGGTTTGATGAGATTTATCATGAGAAAGCTCTAGAGGCTCGTAATGTACGTATTGTCAGTGGCAATGTAGATGGGTTTAATCCTTATGGAATGGTGGCTGCCCCGTACACCTATTGGCCCATGTTCGTTATCCCCCTCAATCTCCCCCCTAGTGTCCTCTTTCAACGACAGAACATATTCTTGTCGTTGATAATTCCAGAACACACGGGGAATAATATGAGTGTGTACATGGAGCCTCTGATTGATGATTGGGTCCGTGCTTGGGAGGAAGGGGTATGGACATACGATCGAGCTACAAAGACAAACTTCAAGATGCATGTTTGGTACCAGTACTCCCTGCATGACTTGCTGGCATATGGGATTTTCTGCTGCTGGTGTGTTCACGGGAGGTTCCCATGCCCGGTATGCAAGGCTTCTCTGATGTTCATTTGGTTGACGAAGGGTGGCAAGTATTCTTCATTCGACAAACATCGACAATTCCTCCCTCCTGACCATCCATTCAGACTAGACATCAAGAACTTTACGAAAGATGTCATAGTTAAAGACCCCGCACATGAGATGATGATAGGAGCATGTTCATGCTCAATTAGACGCTCTCGAGGTCAATAAACAAGAAGGTGGTTTTGTGGGATATGGCGAGCAACATGCCTAGACTCAGAAGTCGTGCTTGTGGAACCTCCCATATTTTGATGATCTTCTTCTTCCACATAACATTGATGTAATGCACAGTTCAATCGACACGGCCTCTACTCCCACTCTCTCCTAGATCCGAGCAAGGAGCATGAGCGCGAGCCCGGCGATACGCCCACGGCCAACTGCTACACAGTTCCAGATGGAGGCTCTCCATGTTATTTCTTATTTATTCATCGTTCGTTGATTGTTACGTACTTTAGCTTTGCATTGTAACATTGGGATGAAATGTTATAGGCCCGGGTGGAAGCAGAAACGAAGCAACGGGAGGAGATGGAGGCGAGGATGGCGGAGATGATTCAGTAGGTGGCGGCCGAGCGGCAGAACATGGAGGAAGAACAACGGCGGACGATGCAGAGGATAGAGGAAGAAAATCGGTTGAGGATGGACCAAATGTTCCAATACATGCAGAATTTTGCATCGAGTATGGGTCAAGCTTTGCCACGGTGCTATTTCCTCCACCTCAACCACCCACAACTACTCCTCGTAAGTCACTTGACACCTTATACTGCAGATTGAATACTTTGACTTAGAGAACTTTAGATGTTAGCTCAAAATGACTTAGAGAACTTTAGATGTGAGAACTTTAGATGGCAGGGGTTTTTATAGAGGTTTATTAGCGAGATAAGCTAGGGTACGGAGGTGGCGTGCATGGCAGCAAAAGCATAGTACTAGTGGTAGAAGTGCCTGTATACACACATGATAGGATAGAAGAATGCATGGCTGCTGAGCAAGGAAGCTACCACTGCATAGGTGGATGTGGTGCCGGCCAGCCAAAAGCAAGTCTTTGCTTGTGTGCAGGAGATGCCGCAGCTTCCTCTCTCTGACTCTCTCTCTCTCTCTCTATAAGTCCCTACCTCTCTCTGACTCCCTCTCTAATTTCTCTGTGCTGACCTCAGAGAGAGAGAGATTAGGAGCGTGCATTAGACTTTCTTGTTGTAGTTGACACATTATATACCTACATGCCTCTTTAAATTATATAAGTACATGTCTCTTCAAATTGCAATCAAAACTTGCAATTTCCATTTTTGAACTCAAGCCTTTCAGTGACAGATTAACCAGCTGCTGCTCGGGGGAGGCATTGCTTTGCTGGAGATGCTGGCTAGAACGTAGGACCTCCATGGTTTCAGCAACCATTGCCTTGAGAGCATCTGTGAACTCTAGCAGGTGGAGAACCTCCGTCTGGTCCATCTCCATAAGCTGATCAGGTGGGGCATTAGCAAGTGCAGTGGCTAGTGCCCCAATTTGAACAGGCTGTGAGACACTATCATCTCTTATTGGCATCACTCCTATCTCATGTGGAGATGGCATCACAGCCCCAACACTATGCATGCCAGGATCAGGCATTCCGCGTCCAGTGGGATAGCAGTAGCCACGACCACCTGTAGGGGACATCCGCAGCATGTAGAAATTTTAGGCCATAATTCAACGAATGACGATGGGGTGATACTCCCAAGAGATTTTAACAGGACATATAAGTGTTTTCTTGCGTTTGTTAAGTTCGATACGTACTCCCACTTTATTAGTTTAATAATATATATAGTTATTTCCTGGCAGCAGCACAGCACACAAAATTTAATATAAATTCTCCCAAAATTTAATCAAATAGACTAGAAGCTTCCTTATTAGCTTCCCATGCACAAATACAAGTTAGTACTATATATACTTACGTGCAAGTATTTTTTGAAGACACTACTTATACTTTCTGATTGCAGTGAGTTTTTTATATCTGCAGCTCACACATGCAATCTCTTCTCTTTTGTGCAGAATCAATCGGCGGCATCAAATAATCAGTCTCAAGACCCGGATTTGTCGCAGAGGTTCCAAGGGCCTCCGCAGTGATTGCATTTGCATTTGTGGCTTATTGTGACTTAGTTGTGACTTGTGATGATGGTTTATTGTAAATTGTGATGATGGTTTATTGTGACTTGTGATGATGGTTTATTGTGAATTATGATGATGGTTTATTATACCTGTGACATATAATTATGCCTGTGATGATGTTTTGTTGTGAATTGTCATGGTTTTTTGTGAATTGAGAGGGGTCCATTATATGTGACAGATTAGTTAAAAAGGGGGGGGGTCTTGGCCGCTTTGCCGAGTGTAACACTCGGCAAAGAGAGGAGTTGCTGAGTGTCAAGGCAAAACACTTGGCGAAGAGACCATTTTCTGTTATCTGGGAACCTTCTTTGCCGAGTGTATTATAATGGACACTCGGCAAAGTGACCATAAATCTGTTCGTTGCGCGGTTGTTTGCCGAGTGTTTTGAGCGCGACACTCGGCAAAAGCAAACTTTGCCGAGTGTTTTGGGCTGGACACTCGGTAAAGTTTAGAAACTTTGCCGAGTGTTTTGGTCTTAACACTCGGCAAAGTTGAGAAACTTTGCCGAGTGTTTTCTTCTTGACACTCGGCAACCTTGAGAAACTTTGCTGAGTATTTTTCCGTCGTGCACTCGGCAAAATCGCCATCACCGTGCCATCCCGTCACCATTTTTTTGCCGAGAGTTTATTTTTGCCGAGTGTTTATTGACACTCGGCAAACTATTTGTCAAGTGCTCGATAAAAAACACTCGGCAAACTACTGTTTGCCGACAAATTAATGTCGTGTGTTCTATGCTGAGTGTTACACTCGGCAAAGCATTTGCCGAGTGTTACACTCGGCAAAGCATTTGCCGAGTGTTTTTGGGCCTTTGGCGAGTGCCCCTGACACTCGGCAAAACTACTGTATCCCGATCGGTGATGGAGACTCTAATATCTATCTTATTATTCGCTAACCGTGTCCGTGATGTCATGGACACTCCCTCAGCGCGCTGCCTCGCGAGCTCCACCATGGCGTCGGCGCCCCGGAGAGGCACCACCCAGCGATGATGACGCAACAAACATGCACTACGGGACTCCTTGAGTTTGCCGAAAAGTGCCCAAACACTCGGCAAAAGACATAAAACACTCGGCAAATGGTTCGCCGAGTGTAACACTCGATGAACAAAGACTTTCGCCAAAAAAGCGGTGGCGGCAAAAGCCGACTTTGCCGAGTGTCTTTTATCGGCACTTTCGGCAAAGCCTTTGCCGAGTGCCCGACACTTCGCAAAGTTGAAACCGAAAAAACCCGAAAAAATGGGAATTTTTACCCAAAAAATGGAATTTTTTTATCGATGGAGGCCCCCCGGCCGCCAGCCCACCCATCTCTCGACATTTTTCGCGTGAATTTCATGGCTACGCTGCCGACGCGATGATCGAACCTCGAGACCTCCCATTGTGCGCGCGTACCTCCTCTACCACTACACCACACTCTCACTTGTGTCTGGATTCCGTTTTAGTTCCCAATATATTATACTAAACCGAGTATAAATTGCATGTTTGAGACCCTAAACGAATTCAAATAAAAAAGTTGTAAACTACAAAGTTTCATAACTTTTCGAGATCTACACTTTTAGTTTAGGAAGTTTTTCCATCCGAGGTCGTTTACAAAATTTGAATTTTAAAATTTTGAAATTCAAACACGCTTTTGCGTGACAAGATGTTTTCAAATAAAAATTTGTAAACTACAAAGTTTCATAACTTTTCGAGATCTACACTTTTAGTTTAGGAAGTTTTTCCATCCGAGGTCGTTTACAAAATTTGAATTTTAAAATTTTGAAATTCAAACACAGTTTTGCATGACAAGATGTTTTCAAATCAAAAAGTTGTCAACTACAATGTTTCATAACTTTTCGAGATCTAGAGAGTTTATTTTGGATGTTTTTTCATCCGAGGTCGTTTGAAAAGTTCGAATTTTAAAATTTTGACATTCAAACGCAGTTTTGCATGACAAGATGTTTTCAAATCAAAAAGTTGCCAATTACAAAGTTTCATAACTTTTCGAGATCTACAAAGTTTATTTTGGTTGTTTGATCATCTGTTCATCCGACATGGTCGTTCTAACATTATTCACAAATCTTATATATCTCTCTTGTAGTTTCATAAACTACAAGAGAGATATGTTAGATTTGTGAACAAATTTATTTTCACTTTGTCGAATGAAGAAAAGACCAAAACAAACATTGTACATCTTGATGAGTTATATAACTTTGTAGTTGAAAACTTTTTCATTTGAATTAATTTACTGCTTCAAAATGTGCTTTGAAATTTTCTTTGCCGAGTGTAAAAAAAATAACACTCGGCAAAGAAGCTCTTTGCCGAGTGTCAAAAAAAACACTCGGCAAAGAGACTCTTTGCCGAGTGTTAAAAAAAACACTCGGCAAATAGCCTCTTTGCCCAGTGTCAAAAAAAACACTCGGCAAAGGCGTCTTTGCCGAGTGCCCGAAAAACAACACTCGGCAAACCACCTGGCACTCGGCAAAGAGGCGGTCTCCGGTAGTGATGCGGAACTCCTCGCCACCCCATGGCGGGACGCTCCTGTCTGGGTCCGCTAGGCGGGCGCCATAATAGCGCCGGCCCACGAAGCGGAGCTCGGCCTCGAGCGGCGCGGCGAGCTCCACCCACATTGCCCAGTTGCGGTTGCGTTGGACGGTGAGGGAGAGGTTATAGGCGACGGCGATGCACGGGGCATTGGCTGCGGTGTCGGTGTCGTTGCTGGTGACGACGAGGTCGAGGCTAGCCAACAAGGCGTTTCAACCTCATGCCTCTCCTCTATGGGATCAGTGGCGGTAGGGGGACTTCCTCACACCCCCGCTGGGTGGATCCACCCATGGTCGTCGTCCATGGGCATTTGGCCGGTCCCCTCTCGCACCCCTACCCATCGCGTCCACGCCCATAAGAATGGATGTCCAAGGTTCTTCATTCTTACTCTTTGCTTTAACCCGAGACGAAGGTGCAGAAAAGGCCCTACCCCTGCCAGCTAAGGCATCAAGCGGCCCAAAAGAGATGGAGATGAATGACATGCAATCGTAAAATACGCGTCTCGCGTCTCGATCGAGGAACCGAGAATGGAAGAAGGTTTGCATGGCGAAGAAGCATCGGATGTGTGCATCATCCAAGAACGGCAAGGCGTGTCATGGAACTCAACCGCCTTTACGACGCATGCCGGTGAGTCAAGCGTGAGAAAGGGCAGGTAGCGTCGTGCCGTCGTCGTGTCGGCGGCATGGCGATTGGGAAGAGACGCGACGTGATGCGACTGGCGAGGGTATTCAACCGCCTCTACAGGTGCCAAGAGGTGGGTTGGGGCTTGGGGCTGGCCGCCAACCAGCCGTCGCCCGTGGCTGCACGGCCACTCCTGCCCCAGCGGTGGCTGGTCCCACCACACACTCGCCGCTCGGCCTCCGCTCTGCTCTGCGCCTTCACCGCCAGCACCTCTGTCCTTCTTGCCGCCTCCACGCGCTCTCCGGCACACCGCGCCGCTAACCACAGTAGAGCGACCTCCGCTCGCACTCTTTGAAAAGCGTACTTTGCGAGAGTGCACGATACTTTGCCGAGTGCAAAATATCGTGGCACTTTCGGCAAAGCAATATTTTGCCGAGTGTAGCACTTCGGCAAAATTTTGCACTTTCGGCAAAGCGAGGCTTTGCCGAGTGCTAATCACTCGGCAAAAAAGTCGACCACTCAACAAATCTGGACTTTCTGCCGAGTGCCTAGCACTCGGGAAAGCAGGGCGCTCAACAAAATTTGTTTTATTTTTTTTTTAAAAACTTTGCCGAGAGTCATCCTTGGGCACTTTCGGCAAAATGTTTTTTATTTTCTGAAAACAAATTTTGCTTGAGTGCCTCTGGGCGGACACTTTCGGCAAAGACATTTTTCTTAGAGTGCTCCCCCAACTTTTCGGCAAATATTTTTTTTTTTGATTTTGGACCCAAATTTTTTTTTGTGTAGCCTTGTGGCGATGTTTAAAGCTCTACTCTAAAATTTGGTGAATTTTTGACTTTTTAGGTATATTTCATTAATTTATTTCATTTTGTTGATTTTTTTGCGTATTTCAAATTTGAGCTGCAGTCCATGGAATAATGGAATTTGGTCATCAAAAATTGATATTCATGATATTTAGCGTATGTTGAGGCCGTATCCGAGTCACATGAAATCTCGAGCATCTCGTTGGCGTAACATGTCGAGTTAGTTCTTGGGAAAAGTTAATTTAAATTATATAAAATCAAGCGAAGTCCGAAAATCATGAAACTTGTGGAGACGTCGTGTTATCGCATGTGGAGGCTATGGTAAAAAATTGAGAAGATTTCGAGCAAGTAGTGACGTCGGATGCCAAAAACCCAGACATCTCCACATGTGATCACTTTGTTTCACATGTGATCACTTCGTTTTTGGCATCCGACGTCACTACTTGCTCAAAATCTTCTCAATTTTTTACTATAGCCTCCACGTGCGATAACACGACGCCTCCACAAGTTTTGTGATTTTCGGACTTCGTTTGGATTTTATATAATTTAAATTCACTTTTCCTCAAGAACTACCTCGACATGTTACGTCAAAGAGATGCTCGAGATTTCATGTGACTCCCTGGACACGGCCTCAACATACACTAAATATCATGAATATCAATTTTTGGATGACCAAATTCCATTATTCCATGGACCTGCAGTTCAAATTTGAAATACGCCGAAAAAATCAACGAAACGAAATAAATTAATGAAATATACCTAAAAAAGTCAAAATTTCACCAAATTTTAGAGTAGAGCTTTAAATACTGTCACAAGGCTACGCAAAAAAATTTAGGTCCAAAATCAAAAAATATATATATATTTTGCCGAGTGCCATGGGGAGCACTCGGCAAAAATGTCTTTGCCGAGTGCCGGGCCCAGGAGGCACTCGGCAAAATTTGTTTTCAGAAAATAAAAAAAAAAATGCCGAGTGCCCAAAGATGGCACTCGGCAAAGTTTTTTTAAAAAAAATAAAAACAAATTTTGCCGAGTGCCCGCCAAGAACACTCTAAGCAAGAAAATCCAAAAAAAACGCCACATGCCTAAATGGCCCAACCGCCCACCCTCACCCATCCCTCCAAACCCTATCTTCACCGCCTGCGTTCTCGACCTCAAGACGCCACCAAGGCACACACCGCCGCCGCCACCCCATCACCGCCCACCCACACAAGCGCCCTCACAGCCCGCCCATCATGCAGCCAGCGCCACCACCCTTCCCACACAGCGCCTCACAGCGTCGCACCGCCTTCGCGCACAAGACGCAGCAGCAGCAGCAGCGCCCACCAGCCCATCCCTTGGCCGCCTGCCGCACCCAGCGCCCCCTCTCGTCCTCGTCCTCTTCCCGCTCCCGCGCCGGGTATGGAGGCTTCCTACAAGTTCGGGCCCTACAAGATCGACGCCAGGAGGTCTTCCACGCCACGTCCCTCTCCTACGCCATGGTGAATCTCCGCCCGCTGCTCCCGGGTGGGTCACACACATACCCATGCTCCTCCTTTCCACTTCACCTCTGATGGTTCTTGCTTGCTTCGTTGCTGTAGACGCACGCAGCCACTCCCGAACTCACTGTACCGTAGCATTTTTTTTAGCTTGGGAGTTGCTGGAACAGGAAGATTAGTCGTCGCGACAGAAAGTGGGGAAAGTATAAAATCCCAGCTTTCTCGCGAAAATATGGTTGATGGAAATTAGATTGATCAAACGTTGGGTCCCGAAACGCTAAATAAAACTTGTGTATTCAGAATCATGCCCTGCTTCTATGAAACTTGTGTATTCGGCAAGGTAACTGTGTACCACTGCACCATGACCAATGGGGATTGTTTCAGTAGGCAAGGATCAATGGATCATGGGCATTGCCTTCTGTTTTGGCTGGGAAACCCAACCCAATTCCTGCCATCTCATGGTACTTTATCTAATCCCTGCCTAGTGCCTACAGAACAAGCTAATAACAGTGTCATTCTAGATTTCCTCCTGATGAAACCTGAGACTACTGGCTAGTCCTTCCCTTAGACATTGCATTTAAGCTTTGCATATCTCTAAATCACCACATTGCATTTCTTTTCTTTTTTTTCTCTCTCATAGACACTGCATTTAACAATACGAATCTTTCTTATGCAGGTCATATCCTTTTATTTCAGCGAAGCTGGCACTGTAATTTCTTGGAAGCTAGTTTTACAGTTTTTTCCACTCTGCAGACACTGTCTAATGATTGCTCACTTCAGTATAGTTCATGAAGAGCACTGAAACAGATATGAAAGAAACTGAGCGATGGCATTTTTCGACAAACCTTTGCATTGGCTCTCTTATTTTTAGACCTGGTTATCTAGTCTGTCTAGGGGATCAAGTTAGCTGTAGGTACTCATTTAGTGAGGACTCTGTTTTATCGAGCCACTGACTTCATATTTGGTCATCTTTCCATGGAGACCATCTACAACTCTATGCCATGATTATCTGTTTTTCATATCATGCAACAGTTCCACTTGCAGAATAACTGTATGCCTGCAACTCAAGTTGACTTTATTAAAGCAATTTTTTTTGACTCTCTGATTGGAATTGTTAAACATTTTTTGTTGTGTTGTCATTTGGTGCAAAGCTGTCATAACTCATAACCCACCTGAGTAAATTTATTTGACTCAAAGATTAATACATCACATGTTGAGGAAGATGTGTTCTTCTATATGCATCATTTTTTCCTTGACAACACATACATGTTCTTGTGTGCCCCAAGCGTGAAGTGAAAAGATTCGCTGATCTAAGCTCTGATGAGATTAGTGACTTATGGGTTACTGCATTTGTTATATTACTATTCGTACTATGTCATACAGGCTATGCTAACTCCATTTTGTTCTTTTACTATTTGTACCATTGATTAGCTTGTTATGGACTTATATTTGTTATATTATATTCTATGATGATGCCATGAGGTTTCTTATTAACAAGTGATATTACTTGTCAGGATGGTCCTCAAGCTGGCCAAGCAGTTGCACATGTCCACATTCACCTCATCCCGAGGAAGAAAAGGGATTTTGAGAAAAATGATGAAATATATGACGTGGTTTGTGGCCCATTTTTCTATTAATCTGGTTATTTTATTACAATATCCAATCAAACAAAGCTTACCCTTTTCCTTGCTATGATAGATTGATGTGAAAGAGAAAGAACTGAAGGAGAAGCTTGATCTGGACATTGAGAGGAAAGATAGAACCATGGATGAAATGGCTCAGGAGGCCAATGAGTACCGTGCTCTTTTCTCCTAGAATTACATGATAGTATAGTAGTTAGTTTCTAAGTTGAGCTGACTGTTTGCTAGAAATAAGGCTTGCTACTTGTCCTTCGTTGTTGCAGTTCAGTTATGATTGCGCACTGACATTGTGATGGTGTCCAGTTCTGGTGTTATGTTCTGTACTGTGGAGAAATAATCATTTGTTGCAAGGAATGCATTCCTAGTGCCAACTCTTTTAGATAGATTAGAAACTATTTTTTTGTGTGTACTACAGAGCGTCAACTGTTTTATGGAAGAATTATGTCTTTACTGCAATCTTTTTCTTTGTGGAATTGTAAGAGAGGATGTACCATTAGTCACAAATTACCCCTTCAGCAGTTTATGCAGGATTAGTTAAATTAGATGTCCATCTACTGTTAAACAGAATTGATTAGGACAGAAAGATTGTGTTTAGTTCTTTAGTAGCGTGCTAAAGTTTTATTCTAGTGCCAACTGTCCATTATGTTTTGTTCTGTGCTAGGAGAATCTTGGTTGACTGTAGCCTTTTCACTGACTAAGTTATTTATTTGGATGATGCTTCTGTCCAAATATCAAAAGTTGATCTGATTCATGAATGCAAGATTCTGATCCTCTCTAGCTATTGTAGGCCTAGTTAAGCTTTATTCCATGCCCCCTGCTGATGCTTATGTTGTACAGTAAATTCTTGACAACTCAAATGTTCTGATTAAAATCATGCTGATTGTTTCAGCTTTATGTCTTTTTGTAGCAGTCCTTTGAAAAACATTGATCATAGCTTTTCACTTTTTGTTTTCTTTGTCTTTATTGTTGTCTTATCCTGAAAACTTTTTTTGGGGGGTGGAGAGGTTATGGTCCGTTGATCACAGTTGATGTGATATAAGAATGTAAAGAGGGCATTGGCTTTGCTTTGTCTTGAATGTTAACACTTGGGTTTGCTTTACACATACGTGAGCACATCTCTTGTAACTGGATAGATCTTCAACCCCCCCAACTTTTACTGATTTGCGTCTTGGATTTCATTGACTTTAGTCACTTTCATCCTTTCCGTTGCGCTCTGTTTGCTTGGTATCTGGAATTCGAACTTTGTTTTATTGGATTGGATGCCCCTTGCTGCAGGCCATTGTCCATTGTCATGATGGGATGGCCTGGGCTAAATAGCTCTTAATCCATCAAGCTTTGTGTCGCGAATAGCGGTCTGGCACCATTTGTAGTGATGAAAATGTACATGTTGCCAAATGGCCAGTCTACTGGTCAGGGTCAGGGTGTTGCTATGCTGTCTCCTGTCGCCATCGGAAGACATTGCCGCTGGACTAGGTCACCTGCAACTGCAAGCCTGCAACAACTAGTTTCTAGTTACAATTGTGTGCTTGCCCTGGCGTACTTGACGTGCAAACAAGTGGTTGCTTTTGTGGTGGGAATCCAGACTGTTGCAATGGAATGTAATTTTTTTTTTTTGCAATTCTCGGGGTCTTTGCCGAGTGCCACGGGCAAGGCACTCGGCAAAGATTTTTCAAAAAAAAATATATATAATTTCTTTGCCGAGTGCCTAGCCGCGGCACTCGGCAAAGTATTTTTTTTAAAAAAATTCAGAAATTCTTTGCCGAGTGCCTAAACAGGGGCACTCGGCAAAGAAATTATTTAAAAAAAATAAAAAAAACTTTGCCGAGTGTCTGGGCAGGGGCACTCGGCAAAGTAATTTTTAAAAAAAATAAAAAAAAACTTTGCCGAGTGCCTGGGCTGGGGCACTCGGCAAAGTAATTAAAAAAAATTTTGCCGAGTGCTGGGTCGGCCACTCGGCAAAATAACCGTTAACGGCTGGCGTCGCAACGGCCGAAAATATTTTGCCGAGTGCCGCCCCAAGCACTCGGCAAATTTTTTATTTTATTTTGCCGAGTGCCCCGATAAAAAGCACTCGGCAAAGACCCTTTGCCGAGAAATTTTTTGCCGAGCGGACTTTGCCGAGTGCTACACTCGGCAAAGCCTTTGCCGAGTGCAAAGGGATCTTTGCCGAGTGTAAAAACACTCGGCAAAGGCTCTGTTTCCAGTAGTGTCGCCCGCACGAGATCCAGTGTGCATGTCCCCGTGTGATGGTGTCAGGCCATGACCGAGAGAGAGGAAGGAAAAAGGTTGGTTCTATTTCTTAATGGGCTGGCAACTAGCTTCTACATGGGCCGTTGAAACACAAATAATGGCCCAGGAAGGAAACTCGTCTTCAACCTCCGTTCACTGTCTGGAGAACTTCAGCCCCTCCTTCCCTAGCGTTAATGGTCATTTTTTTATGTGGAGCAGACCTGAGGGGGGCTCCAATGTCGCGGCCAGGGTAGGGGGGCTAAAACCCCCCTCTCCCGCCCCGATCAGGCCCCTGGCCCGATGGCAGATCCGACACTATGCGCACATGCGGAGAAAGCGGTAGGGGTGACGAACCGGTTGTCGACGAAGGATATTCGGTTGATCATTGTCATCGAGGACATTATTTGCTCGGTCGACCTCACCAGCAAGCGCAGGGACAAGAAGGCCGACAAGAAGTCCGACGACCAGAGCAACGTGAACACCATGCTACAGAAGGAGGATGACAAGGATGACGAAGCCAGCAAGCTGACCCTTTCTGGGGTGCTCAACTTCATTGACGGGCTATGGTCGTCGTGTGGCGAAAAGCGCATCTTCGTCTTCACCACCAACTACAAGGACAAGCTGGACCCAGCGCTCATCCGGCGAGGCATATGGCCCAAACGTCCAAGCCCATGTACTGATGTACGTATGTACAGCCAGGCTAATTAAACTATTATTTTTTAATTGAAGGATAATCATCATGAAACTTAAAAGAACGACAATTGACTCTTTTTACAAGGAGACACTGCTGCTGCTAATGTTTCGATAGATCAAGAGCAAGATGACTACTATTTGATCGGCAGGTATGCATTATACAATATTTAGTTGATTATTTAGTCTTTAAATAATCATAGTCATGATGATTTGCTGATAATATTTTCCTTGGCAGGTTGATTCGACTTGTGCTAAATCTACCAGTTTCCATAGCAACCGATGAACCTATTGATGACTTCGATGCGATTTAGATGTGATGCAGAGCAAAATTTAAATGAAACATGTTTGTTCCTTTAACCATTTATGTTTATCGTTATATTTTTCATCGCCAATTTGTCACAACATGCATAATTAATTATTACTTAATAGAGATTTTGGTGTTTCAATATATGATCAAACTCATATACATATATAGATATATATTGAAATTTATGCTTATATTATATGTATTTGATTGTCCGGCCCCGCCGCTATATATAATTCCTAGCTCCGCCACTAATCGAGATGTCCTACTTACGAGGCATTCAAGGTGCTGGCCCATAACTACCTGGACATCGACGAGTACCAGTATTTCGATCTGTTCGGTGAGATACACCGGCTGCTGGATCAGGTTGATATGTCTCCGGCGGACGTTGCCGAGCACCTGATACGAACGGAGAAGAGGGATGCCGGCGCGTGCTTGCAAGGTCTCGTCGGAGCTCTGAAAATTTTAAATGCCCAAAAGAAGAGGATCCAATTCTGGCAGAGAAGTCGGATTTAAACCCGACAGTGATCAATGTACTTGACGTAGTGGGGGACAGTACATTGGAATCATAAAGAGCCCCCATTTGTTTAAGTGGCTAAGCTATGCTTGCCCCCATTTGTTTAATTATTTTGTAATATCTGTATTTTCCTTTTTGTACTTCGTTCTCTTCTTAATAAATTCACATTATTAGGGGCTGTCCATCCTATTTTCTTTTTTCGTTCTCTTCTTAATATTTTTTAGAATTATTCTAAGTTAAACTTTTTTAAAAAAAATATTGAACCAAATTTATATAAAAGCGCACTTGATATCAAATTTATACCACTAGATACACCAAATATATTTTCATAGTATATTTACTAGTACCATAAATATGTTGGTATTGTTGTCTTCAAAGTTGGTTATTTTTAAAATAGTTTGACTTAGCATAATCATACAAATCGATGTATTATGAGACCAGGAGAGTATATAGTTTTAAATGACCACAATTAAAATAGAAGCAACAATTCTCTTGAAACATCTAGCAAAAGACTGGTCATCATATTGCTATTTGCGGAAAGATGAGGCCGGCAATCTGTACGTGCTATACTCGATCGTGTGTGAAGCATGTGGAGAGGGGTACCTTGAGTGTTGAGTGCTTATCCCGTTATCCGGCGACTTGGACACCATTAAAGCAAAACATTCTTTGCTTCAGCCTCCATATATATGCTCCTCTGTTCGTGAGCTTTCTTGGTCCGCTTCTTTGTGCACACCTTGAAAAATTCCTAGACTTAGGTCCAGTTTTGATCCACCGGCTAAACTTTAGCTAACTAAATTTAGATGTGGTAGATCTAAACAGCCCAGCTAAGATATCAACTAAAGGCCTCGTAGCTAATGGGAAACCCATTATGTCATTAGTTGTTCTAACCGAGCTAAAGCCAACTAAAGTTGTTCAATGACCAAATGAACCTCCTCTTTTTTCCACATCCTCTTTTTTACACTAATGATTTGGTATCCATAAAAAAAAATGCAAGGGGTGAATCAAGGAAGCATTTGGTTGGAGAGCGAACAAGAGCGGAGCGGTTTCATCCCAATTTCTAGTGTTTGGTTCCAGGACATCAGGAATGGAACAAGGTCCACCAGAGAATATTCACTCAATATCTTTCACCAGCTCACTCCTCTTCTTTTTGTAAAAGGCAATTGCCTTGGTTGCATAGGCGTAGATTTGAAAGATCTGTGCCCAAAAGTATATTTAAAAAAGAATAAAATATAAACATTAAAAAAATCTGCTATGCAGCCCGTGCCAATTGTCTATGCAGCCTAATTGCACAACTTTTTTTTTTTAGATTAGAAAAAAACCTCTTCTCTACCGTGGGCCTTGGCACTGCAACTTGAACGGCTGCTGCGAGCCGGCCATTTCTTGCTACCCCAACATGTCACTTTTTTTTTCTTTTGAGATGAAAACAACCCAA